TATGTCGTTTAAACGTGGTGTGATATCGATTAGGGATTGAAGTACTTCGCCCGATTTTAAATAGTGACAAATTTCAATTAGGCATAAATCGGGTAAATTACTCAACGATGTCATCGTAACGTCTTCATCATATTTGGTGTAAAATGTGAGAAACCAGTCAGCGCGAGGGTTGGCCTTAGGTGGATTCGATGGAGCTGACTGTAATACTGTTTGCAGACAAGAGCTTGAGGCTTTAACATAACAACATGGCTACTCTTCTATGCATGAAAAACAATGATTCGCAAAATGTTTTCTTTCTGCAAAAAACTGCGGAAAAAGTTTATGCGTGTGATGTTACATGAGATACAAAAGTTTTACTGCAGAATTTTGCAGAAAGATTGACGTGAGCTTTTGCAATTTTTGCATTAGATATATTTCGACATGGATGATATGCTTCCTTCTGCTGGTGTCAGAAGGTCAAGGGCTTCATGGATGACCGTAAGCGTATGGACCTTGGTGTGAATGATGGTTAAAGTGTGAATGTTGGAGATAATAAGGTGCACGTTACTGATTCTTTTAAGCGATCTGTGATTTTTTTGTGTAATTTCTACTAGATGATTGTTTCTTCGGTTTCTCTGGCTTCTTTCTTTGATCTCGCTCAACGCATTTCAGTCGAGGGTCAGTGAACCGAAGATGAACGTTACTTGTAAATACTTGTTCTAATTCATCTTCAGTTAATTTTGATCTAGACGATGATGATGGTGTTTGTTCAGTTTTATCGGGTGTACATTCAGTGAGTTCCAATGTATTCAATAAACCTTTTCACCTGATGGGTTTCGGGGCGTTACAAAGTGAATAGGTCGAACCTCAAAAATGGATGATTATGTGTGTTTTTTCGTTTTTCTCCTATTTTTCCTTTCCGTACGAGGAAAACTGAGATGTAATCCATAATCTACGATGAAAGCTCAAGTGATTGACGCATTTGTAAAATATCAGATACATACAGGTTAGTCTGTGGTGCCTGCACTTTATATATAATAACTATATTGACTTCTAACCTATTTTGTCGTTCACAGTCATATACCTTGAACCTAATGAAAGCTTTATAGTATAGAGATTGGTACGGTCTTCAAACATACTACTTGAACGATTTCTTCGATTGAATTTCTGTCCGTGTTTTTGAATAATGATCTCTGTCAAAGTGAAACTACAGCTGAGGAATGGTGATTTTCTACACTCTGAAGCTTTAGTAAGTTCTCATTGCTATGAAGACAAGGGTAATATTTATTTTAAATAGAAAGTATAAAACTGCTCTAGACGTTTTATTTGATTCACTAATATTTCGATGAGCGGTCTCTCGTCATGGTCAGAGTAAAATAAGATAGTAATACTGTACATTAAATTTCAAGCATATGTTAAAGCAATAAAAGAAAAAAGGAAAATCGAAGTCACATTTAGTATGATAGATATACTACTATAGATATAGTAGTATATCTATCATAGTGTACTAGGACTAAAACACACAATGTGACTTCGATTTTCCTTTTCTCTTTTATTGCTTTAACATATGCTTGAAATTTAATGTACAGTATTACTATCTTGTTTTGTTGTTAGCAAACATGTACAGTGTTAGTATCTTGTTATCCACTCAGACATAAAGCAGTATGTGTAATTTGTTTATTTCATCCTTATTATCACTTATAAGTAATATTTGAATAGCAGCATTTTAACCATCCTTTCAAATTTTACACTGTAAATGCAGCGAGACGCTTGTTTTTTTTATGATGACAGATATTGCAGCTGTGATCAGAACTGTGAAGTTTTGTATGATCTGCGTTATGCGGAAGTACATAAAAAGTGTTTTCCTGATGCTAAGTTAATCTTGGAAGTTTTATTACTACGTTCTGACTTGTTTTATCAAGAAAAATTCAATTTAAAGCAATGGTTCATATGTGCTAATCATAAAGAGAAATTACTTGTTGAATATCGACCTAGTACGCAAAAGACGTGTGATGTGTGTGTTCCATGCTTTAAAAAATCTTCTGCAAATACGGGTGCGTTACAAAATATTAACAGAAAACAGGCAATTATTCTATTATTCTATTCTTTGGAATGAAACATGTGTATGGAAAAGTTATTTGCCGTAGGTGCCGAGATGATATCAATCCTTTCACGGATAATGGGATGCAAACATTACATAAAGCACGATTTGAATGGTTATATAAATTAGCTATGAGCGATGAGGAATCAGATGATGAAGATTCCATTGTTAGTTCGCCATATACACCATCTCAAAAGTCATCCGGTAGTGAAGTTAATAGTGCTAAAGAGCAAAAAAGAATGGTATTGAACAAATTTCTCCAGTTGAGTGGAATTAAATCGAAGGTACGGATAACACGTTCGTATAGA